AAAAAATATTTAGAGGTCGGATCTAAGCGCATAAACTTTTCCATGTATTTTATATGGGTAAGAAACAACTTTTCGTAGAAATGGTATTGAATAGTTAAAAATCAATATTTTTCTATCAGAAAACTCTATCAGAAAAAAAATAATTTTTCTATCAGAAAACTTTGCTGTTGTTGGACCACCCTATTGTACAATGTTTAAACAAAAATATCTCGTAACACTTGAGAAACAACGCACCTTTTCATGTCATTTTCCTTGCTTTTGTGATGCAATATTACATATACGCGTCTATTTTGCCTTAGTCATCATAGCGTGCGAGTTGTTATAACTAATCGTTACAAGTCAAAGATTAATTGTTAATAGTATAGCTTAGCTGTATGTCTGTGGTATCAGGTATAAAAATGATAACTCCATGTAAATAATTGCCTGCTTAGGTTCAGGGATATGTATGTATGTAGGTATCAATATAGCGCATAAACTACAAAGAATATATTTGTCGAAGTTTATATTGAAAGTGAAGATATAATTTTATTACCAGCCGGCTCAGCTTTTAGCCAAGAACATGCTTAGTCTTTATAACTGTCGTGGTCAGCTTAACCTTAGGTCATAGTACAAAAAATATATATATATTTGGCGTTCACATTTTGCTAAAGGGTTGGTCGACCTTCTTCTTCAATTTCTGGTGTGAGTCTTGATGTTATTTTACAAATGGATGAACCTAAAGTCTTACGCCCACTCCGAACTGCAAATGGCTTTGATGAGAAGCTTTTTCAACTATAAGAATAAAACTATCTTTGGATGTTTCTCGGAGCAGGAATCGAATCTGGTTCCAACTGGTGCAAGAGGTACCTCTAACCACTCGGCTACGGTGACCGCCATAGTACTATAGGGTTATCCTAGACAGTGCAAAAAGAACATCCAACGAACGGAAATGTATCTTAATACTCCGAGCGGATTCGATGTATTGAAGGCTTAGATTAGGTTAGACGGGCAGCTCTGGTTAAAGGGTTCCCTCGGAAGCCCATTCTGATGCCCCAGACCGGTTCCTACATGTATTTAAACTAACCACTAATTTTGTGGTAGACCCTAGTATACTCTGTAATGGAATGTACCTTCAGCTGTTTAACTTCTAGAGTAACTGTTCTGCAGAAATTTTGAGCCGCTTTCTACCGTGTGCAAGGGACTCTCATAAAAAGCGCTAAATGCATACTAGCTCCTCTCTATAAAATCTGGCAACCATACCTGGTATACACTGCAGTCATGTGGGATTTAGATACTTCTCTCAAAGGCTGTTTCTGAGAGAAGCTGCCAAATCTTGTTTCAATAGTAATTTTGCGGTCATATTTAAATGTGGGAATTTCATCATCGCACAAAATGACATCAATTTCAATAGTCCCAATTAGGGCAATCGGTCTTAAACGAGTACTCTAGGAAATTCCTTTTCAAGTTTCAATTATTATTCCCATAGTAAATAGTAAGATATCAGAAAACTTGCGATTAGTGAATACCTTCAATGTGACACCTGTGCTTTGTCGACTACGATGCACTTGACAATCATAAATTGTCGCATGCAACATTTTTTTACCCCACATGTTTGTACGTAAATAGCTTAAATATACATGCATATGTAAGTTTGTAAATTTATCCTTTATTTACTTACCATCGTCAACATTCATTTAGCGCTTTGAAGTTGTGGACATTGAACGACAGTTGTGATGTTGCTTTTTTTGTAGATAACATGTATGTTTGTACTACTTATGTATATAAATATGTTTGTGTGCATCGCTTATAATGACGTTTCGCCCGACTGCATTGCCGCACCAAAATAGGCCAACATACAATAATTTGACGTAAATCGCATTTAATTACCGCTGAGGTTTGCCATATAAAGTTACATACGTATACCTGTGAGCATACATAGTAAAATATGAACATACCTATGTACAGTGGCGGTCAAAAATGGATGAATGGTGTTTCGTTTTTAATATTTGCAATGTTTTTCAAGCTAAAATTTTTTTGATATTTTTTTATAAAAATATGGTTCATGCTTATCACACTTTCAAACTTTATACAGAACTTAGAAAAAATCCAAAAATTTTTATCTAAATTTCGAGCTTTTTAAAAAGAATTTTTATAACTTTTTTGGGTATGCAGTTAACAGGTTTATACAATTTTAGTGAAATAAAAGCAAGTTTTGAGCGGCTAAAACCCCGCATTAATTTTTTAAATTTTTTTTGTTGTTGACGTCGTTTTGCACTTTTTTTCATATAAACATGAATTTCTTGTCGAAGAATATGTGCAAGACCGTTTGCGAAAAAATTAAAAAAAAAAAATCAACGCCAGTTTTCCTAAATTTCGCTATTTATATAAAAAAAAAACGCAAAAGCCGCCGAAAAAAAAATATTAAAAATCAATGAATTGAATTTATTTTACTAAAATTTTATAAGCCCGTTAACTGCATACAAAAAAAAATTATAAAAATTCTGGTTAAAACGCTCGAAATTTAGATAAAAATTTTTGGAATTTTTCTAAATTCAAGGTGAACAAGGTTTTTATAAAAATATATAAAAAAAAATTAGCTTGAAAATCATCAATCAATCAATATCAAAAACGAAACACCATTCATCCATTTTTGACCGCAACTGTATGTATGTACACTAGGGTGGTCCCAAAATGCATGTGAAAAAGTAAAGTCGGAGGGTTAATGCTCTGCACCTTGTTCTATATCGAAAAAATATATCCCTATTTAAAAAAAAAATATATATTTAGGGATCGCTCACACTTTTCCATGTTTTTTATATAAAAAAAAAACTTCGTAGAAATGGTATAGAATTCTTGATAATAAATATTTTTCGATCGGAAAAAAATCGGTATTAAAAAATTTGGTTTATTATTGGAAGTTTTCTGAAGAGAACCTGAGTTTTTCCGAGCAATATTGATTTTCAAGAATTCTATACCACTTCTACGAAAAGTTGTTTTTTAGCCAAATAAAATACATGGAAAACTTTGAGCGCTTTGAGAGACCTCTAAATATTTTTTTTGATTTCAAAATAAAAAATAGGGTTTAATTTTTTCGATATAGAACAATCCAAGGGGTGAGAGCATTAAAATTCCGACATTATTTTGTCTTGACCACCCTAGTATACATACATCAATGTGCGCTGTAGAGTTGGCGCTGCAACTCTACTAATGCACATCTCGGTCCACAGTGGCCCGCAGGCATTTAGCGGTGAGTCGGTGATTGCGGCTGCGTATTTGATTGATGAATCGTTGGCGTTCAATCAGTGGAATTAATTGTACATCTCTACATACATACATACATATGCATATGTGGATATGGCTATACGCTTAATTACTTATAGACAGTTATTTCTTTTATCTGAACGCCAATTTAAGCTTTTTGGAGCGCGCATACATCGTCTAATATTTTCTGTTAAATATTTGGTAAAAATGTCGCTTGATGCTTATGAAGATCATCTGACATGCATAAAAATTACATACTTAGTGGACTGACAGCTGCGGCAGGTTATATTAAAGGGGAGTCCTATTCTTGGCGCAAGTTAAACTAGAGACCAAGGATATGCAGATCAATTTCTCTGTGGATTATTTGGCGCGAACAACCCAGTGCCTAAGATTAATAACTGTAAAATCCGATTCATCCAAAAAGCCTCCTGCTTCCTTAATTCATTAGCTCTCTCACAGCCTTCGATGTTCCTATGTCCTGGAACCAGGCAAGAGAGCCATAACGCTGCAACAGCTTAGTGTGGAGTTCTACTCTTAGCGCTTCAGTCGTTTTTTGTAGGCTTACGAAGGAGCCAAGGCAAGGTTTGAAGACAGCTTTATCCTCATGATTAAATTTTTAGATTATACCTTCTGGTTTTTTTTCAAATTATTTTTATTGGGGTGAAACTTATTAAGCGGCGGTAGTGAACAAAAAATCGTCACGGAAATGTGTGACATGTGCATTTTTTCTCTTCCATTACGCTTACAATAATATTGAGAGTGGATTATCGAAATGCGCTAGGCAGAGGTCTAAGACTGAGACAAAGACGAAGACGAAGACAAATTCGATGACGAAGACGAAAACTCTTACGAAGAACAAAACGAAATTTACGACAATAAAGACGAAAACTATTACGAAGACGAAGACTTATACAGCGACGAATACGAAAACGATGACGAATGCGAAGATGAACGATAAAGATATGACGAATATGAAGATAGCGTCCAAAACAAAGGAAGAATTTAAAAACAAATACGAAGGCCAATGCGAACACGAGGATGAATACGAAGCCGAATACAACAACAGGAATACGAAAACGAATACAAATACGAAGAGGAAGACGATTACGAATATGAGGACGAAGACAACGGCTAATAGCCCGAACACAATGAAAACGACGAGCTACGGACCACAGCTGTCAAATTATTTTTCCACGTAATCTTATATAGATAATTATTTTGGCGACGACAGGGCTACACGACGACTGTAGTTGTGGCCAGATTAGATCTATTTCTATTTTTCCAGCGACAGATGAGGTTCTTCCTCTTCTTTTAAGTCAAGCTCATACAAATTCATGATGTCGCTGCTGCGTTTGAAAAAGTTCATGTCGCGACGAACTATAAATGAATCGAAGAAAGTTTCACTTCAGACGCACTCCTTTTTGATTATAAAAACTTATAAGATTTATTTCTTACATGTGTGATTTTCCGAATTATGAAGAGTTTTAAATGGGGGTGGGGGGTAAATCACATCCACGTGTTTTAAATGCTGTACAGATCGTAATGCTAAAGTAGTTCATGTTACCAATGTCCTAGCGGGTCTTTCTAAGCCTTATTTTACGTTGTTCCACGCTGGCTTGCACCTACTCTGCTCAGCTACATACCACATGTGTGCTCGAATAGCAAAGTAAAGTCAAATATTTAACTTTTGTACTACTATTTACTTAAACTCTAATGAAGACTTTCATTTTTCATTTTTGTTTTTTTTTTTCCTTTTGCAGAAACTACACCAAATATGCTGAGGATACGACATCGCGTGACAGCGACTCGCTAATTCAAGAGTATGGCAATATACCCACAGAGGAGACCAACACATACTGTTGGCGGCATCCGAAGGTGCGCGAAAATTGGCGAACTGTATTAGCTGCCGTCACATTGTTGATTGTTGGCACCGGTCTCTTTGTATTCGGTACATTCGCTGTCGCAGATCCGGCGAACACATCACAAGGTGTGGTGTTCTTTGTAGCTGGCCTAATCTGCTTTATACCGGGCGCCTATCATGTTGTCTACATTTGGCTGGCAGCCAAAGGATACCGAGGGTTCGACTTCTATCATCTCCCGTTGTTTACATAAAATAATGTTGTCGACGCCAACGATGACAATGACGACGACATATACATAGATACCACATAGATAGATGAGAAGGCAAGACAACGATGACGATGGAGATGGCGATGGCGATGACATGGGTGAAGAAGGCATTAATAAAGGCCAGAAAGACGGCGAACCGACGACGAAGACGATGGCGATGGCGATGGCAATGACAATGATAAAGGCGCGTTAGTAGAATGGGATAAATGGCTGGCGTTATACATCATTGAGTTGCGTGTTGTTTGCTTTGAGTGAGCGTTCGTCTTGTTGTTGTCTGCGAAATGTTTACGTTACATTGACGGTAGCATATGAAATATTTAAACTTTAATGTTTGCCAACAAAGCGATTAAGCGAGTACATGGGGAAGGAGCAAAACAAAAACATTTATTGTGGTGTTTAGTAAAGCGCTAACTTTTATTTTTTAATTTTAGCAACACATCATCGCAATTTCACTTTAAGTCGTTGAAAGTGCAAAAAGCCACACTCAGCTTCCTATTTATATTGCGGCCAAAACCCGTTATCATCATTCGTAAAATCGTCATATTAGGTTGTGTTTATGAGTTTAGATTAACTCACAGCCATACACACTCTTTCTCTCTCATACACATAATAAATTCAACGCTTGATAAGCAAATGCATGCAGCAATCATCATACGACTTTAGAAAACCGTAAACGACTAATCATAGTATTTAGTCAATATTTAAATGCTACTGATATTGCATAATCGGTATACATACATACATACAATAAAGAGAAGCAACTAAGCAAGTAAGCAAGAAGCAATGAAACGATAAATGTCACTACGAATTTTGTTACGTGCAAAAATCTGAAAAATTATTTATAGCAAGTAAATAACTAAAGATTTTATTTTCAAACAAAAAAAAAACACAAAGGGAAGCCGTACATAAAAATAAATCGAACTATTTTTGTTTATGGAAATTGCATAGCGCAAACGATTTCCAGCAGTGAGCTAATGAAGACAATTAAACGCGGGGGAGAGTTGGCTTAGAAATCTTTGTATGCCAAATATACTGCAAATTTACGTTTATGTTTTTCTGCAGGTATGTATTTGAGCTGAGAGGGGAGGATCGAAAATTTACATAAGTTGTTCATTGCAACGAACTCGAATACAAAAATGTTTTCCAAACTTTATATACTAATCAAATATAAGCAATTTCCGAATGAACTACAAAGGAAAAAAAAATTTCGGCTAAGTAAAAAAAAGCGTTCCATCGACAAAAAACAGGGACCGTTACGCCTATGATGACATTTATAATAAAAATCGTCATTTAACCGCTAAACCGTTCTAACCGTTTTTGCACCTTTTGATTGGTTCGTCAAAACGGTTTTTTTTTTGTCTTTAAACCGGTATTTCGGTTCGGTAACAATTCAAGAAATATAAATAAAAACATATATCTATAATTTATGTTTTACTCTGTGCATAGTAAAAAAAATACCGGATGGTAAAAAACATGGTATTACCATATTCAAGAAAAGAATAAATAAAAACCATCTGGAAAATTTGTTTATTAACAAATAATTTTCAACCAAAAAACAAAACCGACTCAATACTCATATAAAAATTTAAGAGTACATGTTCCAATGATCGGATCTAAACTAAATTAGTATGGGACCCCCCTGAGATACCACCTTTCCTTAAAAAAAAAATATAGAAACCGGTTAACGTGGTCCAAAGTTATGCGGTAAAATACGTAAAAAAAAACTATTCCGACGAATTGATAACATCGCTCTTGTTTTAATATTGGTCGAAAAGAACACTAAGCCTTTATAAAAAAGCCTTTCCGTTTGGATCAAATATATCTAGAAAATTTTCGTTCGGTTAGTGGTTCAGTTAATTAGAAGAAAAAATGGGTCGCCCGGTTCAAAACCGGTTCTCGATCCTGGTTGTACATATAAAGGCGGAGTCAATTTTGAAATTTTTCATGTGGTTGTTGTTGTGTTTTTCTCTCTGGGAGAGCGACTGAGAAAAGTTCGGACGCTTTTGGGTGGTTAACTCAACTTCCACTTCAGTTCGAGAAAAAGAACGATGAATCCGCCTTAAAACTCAGATAATCTTACGATCTTTTATCGAGAGATTGTTTTTATGTTTTTTTATTTATATAAAGCAATATTAGAAAATGCATTCTGAAAAAATTACTATATCTTGATTCTTTGAATATCTTTCATCATTAGCAGAAGAAAATAGTGTTGCCAGGCTGGCTTTTTCTTTCTGAAATTCAAGGACTTTCGGCCGAACATACAGGGTTTGGGAAAATTTTTATAAATTTACTTAGTTTTTATTATGTAACAATTTGGCTTTTATTCCAAAGAAACTTATTTTTTCTGTAGTGTGTTTCTCTAGCGTGCTGTTGCATGGAGGGCGCTTTTAGAAAGGGGCATTTTGTACCTTTAACCGGGGAAAGTCATGCTTCGTCGAATCCTGTTTTAAAGAATTTTTTTAAGTTCAAATTTTGTTAAGCAATATTAAAAACACCAACAAAAGTGAAAAAAAAAAACATAATTAGATTTCTCAATCTCGGGGTCTGGGCGCCTGTAAAGGTGGTTACCCTACCAAAATGAGCAAAGCGATGAGCTGAGCAAATTAAGCAACGTTCGTCTGCTTGTTTGAATGCAAACTAGTCTCTCAGTTTTCGAGATATCGGTTTGAAATTTGGTACATGAATGTATATTTATAATGTTTTAATAATTTATCGGCACTGAAAAATTCAGCATAGAGTTTTGCATTATAACTCCTCTATTTAAGCAACTACATATGCATGTAAAATTGCATGTATGTAAACCCTAATTTTTTTTATTAATTAAAAAGTTTTCGTAGATGTATTTATTTTGTGCGGAGAACAAAATAAAGGGATGCCACGTACAAAATTTAGATGTTGATATTTTTATGGACCACCCTAGCGTTATTTAGACCAAAAGAAAAAAAAAAATAGATGCAACTTTGGACTTTGGACTATTCTGGGACACCTTTGTTTTCATATTGCTAGCCACAGTAAAATAAATGAAATCAGTTTAAAGATATCTCAAAAAAAAATAAAATACAGAAAATTCTATACAAATGGTTTCGTGATCTATTTTAATCGAACCTGGCCTCGAATCACGCACTCGTCATCGAATGACTACTCGCTTCGAATCGAATAAAATTCAATTACAGTTGTTGAATTGCCGAAATCTGAAAATCGAATTGAAATTATTGTTTTCTTTCGATATCAAATGCCGTGATTCAGCTCCTGTAGTTGCTTCGAAGGCAGTGTGAGCAGAATAAATTCGCAAAAAGAAGCTACTTTTTTCCCAGGGAAAAAATTATACACTTGTTCCGTTTCAGCATAGCTATATTTATGAATGTATATAACAACTATAATTGTCGAGCGGGCGCTTTTTGATACTACCTAAATTTTTGCAAATACAAAACTAGTAATTTTTAAGCAAAAAAAAAACAAAAACGAATTCAATTCTCATATAAAAATTTAAGAGTATCGTTAATTTCTTCATGATCCATGGGACCACCTTTCCTCTAAAGAAAGAATTATAGAAATCGATTAACGTGGTCCAAAGAAATATTCCGACGAATTGATAGCCTCCTTCTTTTTTTCGAAGTTGGTAAAAAAAAACTACTTGAACGAATCAAAATTTTTCTTTCGAAATTAACGTGGGAATTTTACTACTTAATACGCTTTCTGACTCTCTCTCTCTGCATATAAATTGGCAATTATAAATATTTTTAGGTTTTTGTTTGGAAAATAAAACACCATAAAAACATATTTACATACATACCTATGTAGTTATTGTATGTATGTAAAAACCATGTATGTGTTATGAATGCATGTGTGTGTATATTTGCGCGAAGACTTTATTTTTTGTAATGCATAATATGTTTGTATATGATTTTTGAAAAATATTAAGAAATAAACTTATAAAAAAAAAATAAACGTCAAAATAACCAGCATAACAGCATAACTTAGCTTAAGCTAAACAATTAATTATGCTAGATTAAGTAACGAATGAAATGGCAAGCGAAAAGGCTTCTTTCTGTAGCACTCGATTACACATAGTATAGCTATGAGCGAATGTGCTGTATAAATTTAAGAATTAAGTAAACCAAAAAAAAGTATATAAATACTTATATTTATAGATGTATGTATTAAATTTTTTTGTACACAACCCAAATCGCCTATTTCATGCTTTCCTACCCCGCTCGCCCAACTATTAACCAGTCCAAGTTTACACTGTTCTCATTTTTTTTATATTTAGTGTATAATTGCACACAAACATATAGGACATACATGCATATGTGTATGTGTTTGTATGTAAACATGCATACAAAAATTTATACTCACATTAACATTTAATTGTAAAATAAAAGTATGCTCCGTGAAAATACAATGAAATGGTTGTAAAAAAACAAAAAAAAGGAAAAACAATAGGTGAAATAAATTAAAGCAAAATTTTCAAAAAGTTTTGCAAACAATTGTATTGAGCCAACGTACATGCGATATTTACTTTTAATTAATTGCTACATTGTATACTAGTATTTAGGTGTTCAATGCAACGTCCCTCCACTTTTCCTGGCAATTAGAATTGTTTTTTTTTTCGTTTTTTGTTTAATATTTTTATATCGATTTATACATACATATTTACTTGTATACATAATTTATACTTTAAATGCAGGCAATAAGCGATAATAAAAATCTCGATTCTCGATTAAAGTAAAAAAATATATATGTTTGTTATGTATTTTTCTTTTTTGCATGGTGTATAGGGCGGGTAAGTACGCACTTGAGATGTGAGAGCGAATATTTGGTAATGATTCGAATCCCGAAGATATTGTTATACAATTTTTTTTTTAATTACTGATAATTGTTTGACTAATGTGCGCCTTAGCATTTCCGTGCGTAGAAGTAGGCATACTGAAAAATTCTCCTAGCAAATATGAGCTCATGGCTCGAATTTAACCCGGCGCCAA